TCCAAAAACGGTATGCTGAACATGAAAGGTCCTTCAGACTAGGAAAAAATTATTCGACGTTTTCAAACCATTCCTTGGCATGCAACCACAAGTTTTCAAATCTAAACGATACGGAAAGTACTCACCGGTTTTAAAATTGGCACATCCGCATTGTAATCTGTAAATTCAGGTACTCAATCAAGCCAAGTACCTCTATTAGTACCTACAGGGGTGGTATATAAGGGCTAATGTAATGAACCATTGTTAGTTTAATGCATAAGTTTGAAAATGTCATTATAGGACGAAACTGCAGTAACGTTAGTTACAAATAAATGTGGTAAAAAACATACAAAGTTTCAAATCTCTTTTCTTCATTATGATTCCCTACCACGTAGTAACGGCTGCATCCATCAATCTTTGGAAGATTCCCTCATCCTTTTTTTGTATCAAGATGGAGTAGTAGAAATAAATATACTTTATGTGGCCTTTATGTTTCTCCGGGATGCTCTTATCGCGTATATGAGTCGATGTTTGAATCATGAAGATATACATATATCATCCTGCCTTGAGTATATCAACTGATAATGATTTTGAAAATAAACCTGTTAAAAATACTCCTAAAGTATTTCTATACAATTTTAAAAATTTTTATTCTAAAGTTGTGACTCACTGTATTAGGAAAGCTAACAGGAGTAAGATTTTAGGCGAAAAAGTTGATGTAAACAGAGCTTCAGGTGAATTCTATAACGTTTGGAATGAAACAGTTGAAGTTTGAGTACCTAGGTACACAGTATATGTAGGTAAAAACGGTTTCCAATATGGTTTACAAAAGAGATCAAAGATCACTTGAAAGAGAAGGTTAGATATATAATACATCTCAGTTTCATACCACCAATATACGAAGAACTTTGGAAAGATTTTCAAGGAACTAGGTATGAAGGTGGTTTTTAAAACAAGTCATACACTACAGAGCCTTTTGAGAAGTCCAAAAGACAAAGTCGAGAATTCGGAATAGTATGGAATTTACGAATTTGAATGTAAGGACTGAGATGCAAAATATTATGGACAGACAAAAAGATCTATTAAAGTAAGATATAAGGAACACATAGCACACCTAAAATATGGAAGGTATGAAAAATCACCAGTCGCCCATCATATTTTGCAACAAAACCATTCCATAGACTTCAGTTCATTAAGATTAGTTAGACAACAGGCAACTAGATGCCTATGAGAGTGTAGAAATAAGTAAACACAATAATATTCTGAATAACGATAAACGAACCTATACCAAAGAGCATACTATATAGCTTGTTAAAATAAAATAATGTTGTTTGGTTTACTGATTACTACATTAGGACGCATTGCAAAAATAAATGTAGATAGGCAATATTGTGAAATCAATTTTATATAGCTGAAAATTGTTTTATATACAGCTATAACAGTTAAACATATATTGTAAAATAATAGATGAGGGAAAATTGTAAAATTGAAATTTAGGTTGGTATACCTGTATGGGTGGTACACCTGGATGGTTTATCTGAATGGGATATCTATATAGTATAAAGTGCGTTAGCTTCGCGTGAGTTTCTAATTTAATCTTCCTGTTTGAAGATGGCCACTTGGTGATCGAAACACGTGTCGAGGTGTTAAAAATAACGATTTGGTGTGGGAAAAAACTCCAGTAATATTCAAAGTCTTCGATAATCGACATTAAAAACTGGTAATAGGTTTCTTAATTCCGAATTTCGTCAAATAAATGACGACCCAGAATTCTATTTCTGTAAATTCCTGCCCACACGTTAATACTGAATCGCACTTGGGGTTGAATTTCTCGGAACTACCTGGGGTTGTTTATGCTCCAAATGTGTTCGTTATTTCGGTTGAATATCCCACAATTCGCAAAAGTGCTTGCATCTGTCTAAATTACATTTTTCAGGAAAACAGGAAAATCAGGTCTTCTTATTAGCCAATTTCAAAATTTTAATCGCCTTTCGGGATCACATGGTTGCAATTTCTGATATATGTGTATTTTGTAACATTTCAAACCGCTTTTTTTGAGATGTCTTCAAGTATTTGTATACCAAATATTCATTTCGGAGGAAATTTGATGTGTATATTTCCTCGGGTTCATGTTTATCTGCAAATTATTAATTTTTATTGAAAAAGAACACAATGTCTAACTTACCTTTTCAGGATACAAGGTTAAATACATTTTCCGATGTCCTAACACTGTTTCTATCGTATCTGTAATAAATTGATATCATATATCTTTTTTCTTCATTTGTGAAAGCCATTTTTCGCCAAACATTCAATGACTTGTACAATAACAAAATGTTATTGAGTGTATTGAATTGAAAGTCAAATTTAGAAACATCAAAGTTAAAACCTATAATGATAAGAATAATTGTTGTAAGTATCTCCAATTTTTCGAAAAAGAATGATAACTTATGATACATCATTGAAAAAGTAAAATCTGGTTCTATTCAAAACAGAAAGAATCCAATGTAGCGCCCTTAAGAAAATATAAAGTTGATGATGGTCGTGGCCGGAAGACAAAACATCAGCAAATCTGAAAACACCATTATGTAGCAGGTAAAAAATGGTAATGTGCAATTTATTTTCGAATCCTTCGAAAAATAAAGCCAGAAAAAATANCCAAGATGTATAGTTTATGCAAAGAAGTAACTTACACACAGAAAGAAAAAATCGTATTGAAACAACCACTTTCATATAAATATTGAATAACACGAGAGAAATATACTTTTGAAACAACTACTTCAATATGAACATTGAATTATACAAAAAACACTTTTTACTATTCAGTTTGTACTCCAAACATTTGTTTTAAAATTGAATCAGATATCATTCACTATACTGCTACACAATATAGTATATAAAATAGGTAATATTTCAGTCACATCCGGACATTCCATGTTTCGGAGACAGTTGTTTCATTTCCTCTTCAGACAATGAAGCAACTTCGTGAGGGTTTTCTCTTACTGTTTGTGTCTGAAAGTTACTTCCTTGCATGGACTACACATCTCTGTATAGAGTTCATTTTGAAATTAATTGCACTCTTTTTTTATTTTCAGTAACTACCTCAAACCTCAAAATCAATAAAATAAGAGATGAATCATATAATCTAAATTGTATTTCCAGGACGATTTTTTCCATTCCTCATTGTTTCATATCAAAAGACCATCTTCATCTACATGGAAAATGATTTAAGTACTCACTTTCACTTCCAAAAATAATAATATTTCATAACAATATAATTATGGAGTAACATGGTAATTTGATGAGACATAGATTTGGTTATAGATATACAGTAGAATTTGCCAATTATAACTTTAATTGAGCTAATTGATACTAAAAACCAATTCACGTAGTTTTATAAAATATCAAAAAACCGATTATAAACAGATGTTGCAAATCCTCTTGATCTTTGTCGAGCTGAAAACTTGATACATGAAAATATTTCAATAGACTTCAACTATCACCCTTATCAACTTTGAAATTTGGAATATGGTCGTAGTCAAATATTTTCCATTCCCATTTCAGGTCTCCAGGTGTTGAATAAACACTATAGATTTTCAATTTTCGCATAGTGTACTACTTATAGTACCACTCAAGCACTATCATTTGATACACGTATTGAGCTATTTGTGAAAATAATATACAGGGTGTAACTGAATAAGTGTAAAACATCCAAGGAGGTGACTCCTCATAAAAAAAAAGATAGGATCTTTCATATGAAGAAACTTCATTGGAGCATCCCTTGCTAAGATACAGCCCCTTAAAGGGGGTACATAAAATTAGTATAACAATTTTTTACACAAGCACTAGAAAAGTTACAATATTGAAATTAACCTAACGTTTTGTATAACAAAAAAAAAACTTAGCCAGTAATTTATTTGGTTTACCCCATGGTTGTAAGGGGTGGAAATCGCAACCCCTAAAATTTATTTCCAATGTAACTTTTAGTCTTATCATTTGTTTACCTTCAAAAAATTTATTTCCGATAGCCTGTTTCATTCTAAACAAAAAATGTCTCATGGGTTTTTTGCCCAAAATGAACCAGTTGGTAGCAAAAAATTATTTTACGAACAACTACAGAGATACATCGTCATAAAATGCGAACTGGATTTATTGTTATTTTGTAGCTAGTACCTGCATTAAACGACTAAAGGGTAATGAACAAAACTAATTTAATAATAACAAAACACACAACATGTAGAAATCATAGTACAAGTTCAATATGTCTACCTTCAGACATTACGCATGCGTCTAGACGTCGGCGCATTGAGACACGTATTCGCTCGAATATTCCTGGAGTCTCTCTGATTACCCTGCACGCATCGATGATGCGGTTTCTTNTTTATATGAAAGATCCTATTTTCTTTTCGATGAGGAATCACCTTCTCAAATGTTTTACACTTATTTAGTTACACCCTGTATATCAAGCCATTTGGTAGCTGCGGCCATCTTGAATTTGCATCTTTCTTAAAATGTACTACTATCCTACTAGTCTGCTAGTTGTGAAACAATATGTAATCCGCCATTTTGTAGCTGCGGCAATCTTAGATTTAAAATGATACAAAATTTATCAAATTTTATCATCATCAAAATAGAATGTGAGTATCAAATATCAGATCGATTTGTCAACAGGAAGTGGGTAAAACTTCAATTACTAAATTAGACCCAAACAAAAAACAAACAGGGAGAGTTAAATTGAACCGTTTGGAGAACAAAAAAAGGGATATAGCTCGAATGTGCTGACTGTTTCATCCCATTTGAATTTTTTTATCATTTTACAGCGCATTATTTTACGCCGTAATTTTGAAGAAATTTGAAATATATCCACGAAACTTTAGCAAAGATGTAATTTGTTTTCACTTTGTTCGATGCTTGTATATCCCAAAAATATATGATGGATATAGTGAGAGATGTAAAAGTTCGTCATAATTTCTTCTCAAACAAGAACGCATTCATAATATTCCTTTTTATGTCTAACTTGAAAGCTTCAACAAAAAACACAGATCTCATCCCATCAAAAAGGTACTATCAATGACTAGGATAATATTTTGAAAACCTTTTGGAAAATGTCAATGGCACAACCTCTAGTTGGTACCAGCGTACCACCCATTCCAGAAGAATCTGCCGAATCTACCCCGATAGTTCCCCGGAGAAAATCGAGTACGAAACCCCTTGACATTTCGTCAGTGGAAACAACTTCGAACCCAGAAAATATATCAGATGGAGAAACAGTGATTTCTTGCTCAGAGACTCCTGAACCGAACCCTGCGGAACGCCGCAGAAGTTCAGGAACGCTGGCTAAACTCGTAAAACAAAAAAAAGTGGACGGCACCGTGGGATTTATAAACAATGGGTTTTCGGCGGATGTTTCTGACGCCGCGACGCTCAGTGATGTTCCGAGTAAAGCGTCGGTTGTCGATGAACGGCTTGCCCAACGTCGGAAGTCTTTAGTGCCTATGTCCAGTATGGAGGAGGAGAATTTGAGAGAACGGTTGTATCTGGCTCAGTTGAGACTGTGTACTGATATTGTGAATAAAGAAGCTAAATATACCAGGGATTCGTTCAGGAGACTATTTCAATCAAAGGTGAGATTTTCAAATTAAAAAATGTGTCCCAATATACTCATGATTTTATCTAGATCCTTTCACCACTGAGCACTTTAAACATTATCAAACTGTCACCGTTATAAAAGATGAATCACAAGATTAACAAATTATTGCTACCAATATATTTCTTCAATCGCTTGATAATTTTCTATCAACATAATCATTTCATGAATTGAAATGAAATTAAGAATGATTTTGACATATTGAGTTGTTTGCCTCATCTGAAATTGTAGAGAAAACTAAAAATTGCTCTGACCCGTAAAATTTCATTTTGCAAAAGAACTTTTCCAACAAAGGTGTCATTATTGTCCTATGGACTCAAGATGTTTTTCCTAATCTCCAATAGGTCTATCATACTTACTTATGATACATGATTTTGAATTTTCTGAGATGATTAAATCACAAACACACCAACAGTGTCATTTAAATAAAATAACATAACCTGAAACAGACTATGAACCTAATCGTATGAGTATATCAGCAGAGCAGACATTTCAGAAATTGAGTGTTTACTGCTCATTATGTAAAGTTCATCCGTGTAATTCACTTGAAACCTCTTGAGCGAGTAATTTCCAACAGAAATATGCGACATGAAATTGCCTGCAGAGACGGATCATTCCTGAAATGATGACTTACGAGTTGATGTTCGTGTGAATCTGAAGAGAGTCGTGATAATTCAATTTCTGCTCTCATAATTAAAGTACGACGAATGACGAAATTCATGATGAAATGAGTTGAATGTTTCAAATGTATACAGTGCGTCCACAAAGTAAAGCATCAATGCATTATTGGAAGCTTAACTATAAGCAAAGTTAGAAATTTTAGTATGAGCAGTATTTTACACGATTTGCTTGATGATGGAGCTATTAATGTTGGAAAAATGTATTTTCAACAGGATGGAGCTGGAAGTCCTGACAAGGCCTGATAAGAAATCCAAGAGCTTTGTTGGCTTTTTTGCAATATGGTTAATATGCGAGTCAAATAATAGCTTAGAGTCATATAATACTCCTAAGTCCTTGACTTCAGATGTTTTCTTTAGTTGCTGTTTGCTTATGTGATATTGGTGGTGGTAAATATTTTTGTTTCTTGTAAATGTAATAGAGTGGCATTTTTTAAGATTGAAGAATAAAGAGTTTTTCTCGCAGAATTTCACAAGAGTATTGATGTCGTTCTGAATGAGGAGTGAATTGTTGGAACATGTCACAGTATGGAATACTTTCAAGTCGTCAGCATACATTGAAAAATCGCAGTTGGAGAAACAACTAGATATATCGTTAATATAAATGTTGAAAAGGAGAGGCCCGAGATGGGAGCCTTGAGGGACTCCGGAAGTAATATTGATGAATCTAAAACTAAATATTCCCAGTTGACTGCCTGAGACCTATTTGTAACATACGACTGAAACCATCTTAGCAGATCACCGTGTATACCGATTTCCGTCAGCTTGTCGAGTAAAGTTGCATGATTTATCTTGTCGAATGCCTTGCTGAAATCGGTATAGATGGCATCAACCTGGTAGCCTTTATCCATGATCTTTAAGAGATATTCAGTATAAATAAATAAATTGGTTTCAATTGAGCGATGTTTTGTTGATTGAGGATCATTATTGATTGAAGATCAAAAATCAAAGTATATATAGTCACAAATGATTGATTTGAAAAGTTTGGAAATCAAGCAGAATTTCGATATAGGGCGATAGTTTTCATATAGTAACTTATTACCACTTTTGAAGATGGGAACGACAAATGCAGTTTTCCATATTTTTGGGAAAGAGCCTTCTTTGATAGACTTATTGAATAAAATATATAGGATATGAGGCATTTTTTGAGCGCATTGTTTTCAAAAGCAAGTGAGTATATGGTCCACGCCAGGTGATTTCTGAGGAAGATCCAGTATCTTTCTCAGAATGGTATTTTGAGGGATGTGATAAGGACTGAATGTAAAGCTATCGGTTTATTTTTTAGTATCTGGTTGATTCATACATATTGCTTGGTTAAATGAAGAATCGAAAAACTCTGAAAAAACATCACATATCTTCTGCCCGTCTGTTAAAAGTATTTTGTCTGAATTCTTTATAGCATTAATTGTGGTGTGAGCGCCCTTTTTCGACTTTCCAAACTGCCAGATTTGTTTGGGATCGGAAGTTATTCTGGTTTCTATTTGGTTTATATGGGTGTTGTAGTCGGAGTCAAACAGAAATTTTCACCTGCCTCTCGAATGTTTAGATGTTAAGTAGTCAAAATTATTACGGTACATTTTCCATTTTTTATGACATATTTTCTTTTCCCTAACAGTCGTTATAGTATGTGCACTAAACCAATGAGGAAATTCAGATTTATGTTCAGCATGTTTCGGTACATATTTTGTTATGAATATATCTATGATAGAGTACATTTTGGAAACACTGTCCTCAGTGTTTAAAGGAAAAAATTCGCCATCTCATCATAGTAGAAAATGGAAGTCAGAATTAATAAAATTCACGATATATTTATTTGTTTAAAATATGCATTCTTTTTCGACACGTCATTGGACTGACTCGCTTTCTGTTGAGTTCTACAGGAGGAGGAAATTAGAACAGAGAATATCGATAATTAAATTAAAATACATTCGGAATGTGTTCAATTTCGAATTCGAAGTACAAATATTGAAAATTTTTGTAATAATTTCACGCATTTGTAGATACCTTTGGGTTACTACAAAATAAAAAACGGAAGCTACCGTTACTTATCAAGCTATCAAATATGTAAATGGAACCACTTCTCTTCAATCCAATTTCTCGATTTCCTTATGTTAAAAATCTTTAATAAAGGCTGCCGCTCTTTGATTTCGTATCGCCTTATTGAAGTGCCATCAAGACACAAATGGAACGGCATCGCGCGCTACAAATCTTGCTTCCTTAATTAATTGAAGATTTAATGAGAGCTGCAGCAAAAATAATGAATGTAGCTGAAAAACGCGATTAGTAGAATTTCTGGTCGAATAAGAAACGAATCTGAGGTGCTCTTTTTGAAATGACCGTATAAATTGCATCTTCGGGAAGATAAAAACGTCGCTTGAGTACATACTACAGTTTATGTTGGCTGAGATTCGTATATAAGACTGTCGACACATGAAAGAGGCCTCTCATTAAGTATTTAGCGTATGACTTTCGAGTCAGTGTTACATATTCTGGAATTATACTTGTAGTTTAACTACAATCGGGGATTCAGTGGCGGTAATAATGCTGAGACTGAAATATTAATATGATTGGAAGAAGAAAAATTTTTCATAAACCTTGAACAAAATTTAACAGAAAACATGGCATATTTTTGGAATCACGTGTGTTTCCTTCTGCATGAAAAACATCGATAGTACCTCCAATTTTCAAATCTGGCAATAAAACGTCTATTGAAAATTATAGGCCAATATCTATTATGTGTGCCCCAGCTAAAATATTTGAACAAATTGTATACAAAAGATTATATCAGTTTGTTGAAAAGTATATCAGCAAAACGGTTTTGTAAGAAATAAATCTATATAGTCAAACTTGACTACAAATCTCAACTGGATACTATCTATACAGACTTTCAAAAAGCTTTCGATGAAGTAGATCATGACATTTTATTATGGAAGTTGAGTCGTTATGGGATAACTGAAAATACTCTCAAATTGTTAAAATGTTATTTGGAAAACAGATATTCATTTGTTAAATATTACGGTTCATATTCTGAAAAGTTTGAGGTTATCCCTGGAGTTCCACAGGGGTTCAATTTAAGTCCCTTATTTTTTGTTATTTTTATGAATGATTTGCCAGGAGTGTTGGAATCCTCAGAGTGTCTAATGTTTGCCGATGACGTAAAAATTTATAAACAAGTACAAACAGTGAAGGACTGGGTAACACTACAAAAAAATCTGGACAGGGTTTATGAGTGGAGTTGTGAGAATAAATTATTTTTCAATGTTGATAAACGTTCAGTAATGTCGGTTACATGCAAGAAAGACCCCTATTCTCTTCAGTTACAAACTGAATAGGGTCCCTTTCGAAAGAAACATAGAAATAAAAGACCTAGGAATTACGTAAAATAATACATTATCATTCAGGACTCACATAAGAAATATTACAAGAAAAGCAAATAAAATGTTACGGTTCGTCATCAGGCAAACTAGAAATTTCATCAATATTCATTCGATCAAATTACTATACTATTCATTGGTTAGAATTAAATTGGAATTTGGATCAAATATATAGTTTGCCGAGTATCACTCCAAATTATATGAATTGGAAAAACTTCAGAACAAATTTTTAAGATATCTTCACTTCAAAAAATATCACGTATGGCCAGACTACCGTTCATCTCATTTGAGGAATGAATTCAAGATACTGTCTCTTCAAAATAGGCGCAAAATATGTGTTATGTCATTTTTCCACCGGCTGCTCAATAGTAAACTAAAATCACCTCATTTATTATCGTTAGTTAATTTTCACGTTCCAAGAACAAGATCAAATACGATGTTATATATAAAGAGTTTCACAAATGAACTGAATGTTATAATCGATATAGATTGGACAGATTCTCTAGAAAATTTAGAGAAAAAAGTTGTTATACAGCTAGTGGTGATCAACACACTTATCAGTCGACCCCGTCAGTAGAGTAAAATATTGTATGTAATGAGGTCATCCTTGTAATAAGACCTATGTGGTCTGTTAGGGTGAATAAATAAATGAATAAATGAATAAATATATAAAAAATATGAAACTTGGTCATATAATGCAAAGTTGGTACCATTATATTATCGTACCTATCTTGACCTTTTTTATTCATTCTCATTTCCTGATTTTTTTCAGCAGTGTAATAGAACGTGAAAAAGTATAGGTATTCTATTCTTCGAATGAATCTCCACAAGATAACGTATAAAAAGCTCTCGGTGAAATCAAACGGACTGTGTCAGTAGAACAGTTTTTTTAGCTATTGCCCCCTGACTTCATTCGCGAGGACTTA